TACTGCTTCAAGTGGAACAACTCCTTCAAGTGGAGCCACCACCGATACGTCCACATGCACGTGGGACTCAGGTGCGTCCATGGCAACGACAAGCAACAGGACGGACACCAGTGGTACGCAGGCCAGCACCGCACAACAATCCGTTATATCCAGGAGTGAAACGGTAGTCGAAAAAGTAGGTCAAAGGACCGAAGAAACGGCATCGTCAAGGACAGTAATCGGGCACACTAGTGACAAAAGGTCACAGAGAGGTAGTAGGTCATCGCGATCGGCGAGGCTGAAAGCCGAATTAGAGGCGCGGATTAAATTCGAACGCTCAGAGCTCGAACGAGCACAGGCAGCTGCTGCCTTAGCCAAGTCTCAATTGGAGTTGGCACGACTCAACCGAGAAGAGGAGATCGACTCGAGTGAGGATGATGAAAAGCAGAATACTCAGGTGGAACCTTTCGTAAGGAGTTGGGTTCAACAGACCATAATGAGCGCGCCGGTTAGTGTAACACAACCCGATATTACTGATAAGAAATCGGACCAAAAATTAATATTAAAAAACTGAAGGTAGCCGGACTAACTATGACATTGGGACGTCAAACATCTCAGTCCCCCCCCCCCGTGACCATGGGCGCTGTAAAGCACCCGAAACGTCGGGATAATAATAAAAATAAATTAAAGTAATTAAACGCGATAAAATCCGTAAATAATAGTTTTATTCAAGGAAGCGTGTAAAGGATCACGCCGCAAACGGGCGGAGATCGAGCGCAACCAAGGAAATGCACAGAAAACCCACGCGAGTGAGGTGTCAGAATTGACCGAAGCGATTGTGAGTGCAATAAAGATAGCGGGTAAAGATAAGTCTTCCCAGCTTCATTTCCTCCAGGAATTACCGGTGTTCGATGGAGACCCGGTTGAATGGATAGTTTTCAAAACGGTATTTGAAAACACGAGAAGCCAATTTTCAGGGGTGCAAAATGTCGCACGCCTTAGGAGGGCATTAAAGGGCACCGCTAAGGAAGCGGTTAAGTCGTTGTTGTTTACTTTGTGTGAACCTGAAGAAATAATGAACGCTCTCGAAAGAAGATTCGGTAGGGTTGAGATGCTCATTTTAGCCGAAATCGAGAATGTAAGACGTATGCCAAGATTGGCAGAAGATTGCCGGAATATAGGATCTTTTGCAAGTCGTATTACGAACGTGGTTGCCACAATACAAGCATTGAATTAACCACAGTATTTATACTCACCGGAGTTAGTAAACCGCATAGTCGAGAAACTTGGAACTATGATTAAATTTAAATGGTTTGAATATCGAGCTCAGCATTCTTTGGAGCCAGAGTTACAGAAGATGGCCAAGTTTTACAATTTATTGAGTGAACAATTTGGAACGTCCTTAAGCAATGAAAAATTGCCTAAAAAACGGAAGCGTCCTGAATTCAGGAAGCAAACTGCACATACCGCAAAGGGGTCTGTACGCAACCGTTGCAAGAGCGAGCGCTATGAGCGCCGAAGTAATACGAGCGAGCGTATAAAACGCCGAATTAATAAAGGGCGCAACCGACAAGTGGTTATGATAACCCAGGATAATCCTGTAAGTCGGGTAACACATAAGTGTGTTACATGTAACAAGGAGCACTCTGTAGTGAGTTGTTACAAGTTTAAGGACATGAATAATCGCGAGAAATGGTAAGCGGTTAAAAAAGCGAAAGTATGTTTTCAATGTTTGTCACCTAACCATATGAGGTTAGAGTGCAAAGGGAAAAAATGTGGTGTAAAGGGATGTAAAATGTCACATCATCGAATGCTACAGCGATACCCCAATGAAAATACCTCGCCGCAAGGGGACGAGGGGGGTAAAGAGGCTCAAATTACAACTGTTAGTACAGTGAATGCACTGGCATGTGCATATTTAAAAATTATACCGGTCGAGTTGTATGGACCTAGTGGAAAGGTCAAGACCACAGCTCTTCTGGATGAAGGATCAACCAACTCATAGAGGAGTGGATGGCTCAGAAGTTAGCGCCTCGCGGACGCAAAGAAGAATTACGTATTGAAGCCGTGAGGCAAGCGAATTAACGACGACAGTTCGTATCGCTTAAACGTTAAGATAAAAGGCATTTTCTCGAAAGACTTAGAGGAGATAAGTGTACAAACAATTAAGTCACTTAACCTTTCTCCGCAGTCAGTAGGCCGAGAATTATTGCAACGGTGTTCTCATTTGACACCGATTAAGGACGAGTTGATTTATGAGAGGTCCAGACCTACCATATTAATTGGCCAGGACAATTGGCATCTCATAGTTACACGTGAATTAATTTCAGGAGGTAAGAACCTACCTGTAGCATCGCTCACTAAACTTGGATGGGTTTTACATGGTCACATATTGGGTGGCATTAAACCAGTCAAGATTGTTAACCATATTTCCACGAAGAAGGAGGAAGACATGGATAAGTTGATCAAAGATTATTTTAGTTTGGAATCTCTGGGAGTGTCTGCGCGAAAGCCCGCGAACGACCCAGAAGAACGAGCTTTAAATATTTTGAGCAAAACGGTACGTCCTATACCTAATGAGTGCATGCATAGAGCGCAGGTTGAAAGTCGCCTGTTTAATATCGAAAAGAAGCTCAATGAAAATAGCGAGTTGAAAAAAGAATATGAGAAACAAATTGAAAATCTCATCGTTAACGGTTACGCAGAGAAAGCGAACCATATTTCCATTTACTCACGCACGTGTATCTTCCTCACTTCGCAGTGACTCATCCACAAAAAAGGAAAATAAGAATAGTTTTCGACGCCGCCGCTAGAACGGGCGGACGTTGTCTTAATGATGCATTGTTAACCGGACCGGACTTATTGAAGTCGTTATTTGGCGTTCTGCTACGATTCAGAGAAGGAAGCATGGCAGTGATGGCAGACATTAAAGAAATGTTCCTGCAAGTGAAAATCCGGGAAGAAGACAGGGATAGCCTTCGATTCTTATGGCGGCACAAGCGTGACGCGCCACCGGAAGAGTATAGAATGACGTCACTCATATTTGGAGCGGCATCATCACCATGCATCGCTATGTATGTGAAGAATAGGAATGCGCAGGATAACGCACATATCTATCCGGAAGCAGCTTCCGCTATGGAAAGCAATTTTTATATGGATGACTATCTACAGGTATTTCCCGACGTGACGACGGCCGAAAGGATAGTAAACGATATGTATGAATTACATAAACGTGCTTCTTTCCAACTGAGGGGATGGGCTAGCAACCGACCCGAAGTTTTATGTAAAATGGAAAATAAATATAAGAGCGACAGTGCTTCACTGGGAGATAAGGAGCACACAGAACGCACTTTAGGTTTGATCTGGAATATCAAACGGGATATAATAGGTTTCTCCATAAGTCTTCGTAACACACCGGAAGAGGTGATGGAAGGTTTACGACCGCCTACGAAGAGGGAGATAACTAGTGCTGTGATGTCGGTCTTCGATACTTTGGGACTCGCATCACCCATAACGATTCAAGGGAAGTCACTGATCCAGCAAGTATGGAGGACAGGCATCTCTTGGGATAAAGAAGTTACACACGAATTACACGTGTTATTTTGTAAATGGGTATCGGAAGTGAAGAAATTAGGTCATTTAGAAGTACCTAGACTCGTTGCTGAAGGCGTCGGCAAGGGAGAGTTACACACTTTCACGGATGCTAGTGAAAAAGCATACGCCGCCGCGGTGTATTTCGTCACCACGGACGAGCTAGGAGAAAGTCGGATTACGCTGATCGCCGTAAAGGCAAGAGTAGCGCCGCTGAAACTAATTTCTATTCCAAGGCTTGAATTGCAAGCAGCTCTTATGGGCAGCAGATTACCTGCATCAGTTATTGAAGAGAGCAAGTACGAGATATCCGAGAGAGTATTTTGGACGGACTCACGTATAGTGTTAGCGTGGATTAAGTCAGATCCTTTATCGCGCTTTTATACCATTCGTTGCTCATCGATTGGCTGAGATCGAAGATCACAGTAAACCATGTGAATGGCGATGGGTTCCAACGTCACAAAACGTGGCAGACGACGCCACTAGAAATTTTCCTTCCACCTTCGATATAAGTCATCGCTGGTTTCAAGGACCTGAATTCCTCAGGAAAAGTCCTGATTTATGGCCCAAACAATTGGACACCATAAATAGCTTAGAAACAGGTGAAGAAAAATCGCCAAAATCCGTAAATGCGCTGAGAAAGCAAGAACCGCTAAGTCTACCCGACTACGGACGATTTAGCAGCTTTAAGAAATTCCTTGGCAACTACACGCACCTTACAAGCGGTAGAAAAATTCAAGAGTTTGAGAAAGTCGGTTAAAGGACCCGACAACGCAGCCGAAAAGTAGGTTATGTGTTCCAACGAAGCTTTAGCAAAGTCGGTTAAAGGACCCGATAGCGCGTTGGACATAGCGCTCTTTAAAAAAGCTGAATTATTAATTTGGAAGTTCATTCAAGACGAGTGTTTTCATTTGGAAATAAAATGCTTGAAAGCAGGCAAAAGCGTTGAAAGAAGTTCACGCTTAAGTAAATTATCTATGGAAATAGGAGAAGATAACTTACTCCGTTTAAATGGGCGTTTACCTTTTAAGTCTAATTTGACCGAGGAAAGTAGAAAACCTGTCGTATTAGACGGTAAACACGAAATCGTCAAAATGATGATTAAAGAAGTTCATCATCATTTTGGACATGCCAATCACCAGACGGTGATGAATGAGGTGAACCAAAAATTTTATGTCTTGAACTTGCGTAACGTAGTACGAAGTAATAATAAAAAGGCGTAGGGAAGTGACGACCCCATCGCCCGCTGACGTAACAGTTATGTGACAAAACTGCGACGTCGGCGCAGTCAGTCAGCATCCTGCCAAGAGGTGTGAGCGCCGTGCCTAGGCAAAATTGTAGATGCAAAGGTCCGTTTGTGCATATGACCCAACCACGAAACGGTGCCGGGCTTGGGCGTCTCCCGTTATTTGGCGCCCATAAAATGGATGATGGAAGAAACAGAAAAAGGAACGCGCATAGGGCCGCTGCCTGGGGGTCGCCGGGGCGCGTCTGGAGCTGGCGCTGGACGCGGCAGCATGCGGGCCGCCAGCCGAGCGCGAGGAGCTGCACGATCACCTAGCAGCCCCTCGCATCCATCATCCCCACCAGAAGGCTTGGTGTCGGCTGGGTCTTCTCGGACCCAGCAAGCGGCACCCGCCGCTGGTGGAGCACGTCGCATGCGTTGGACAAAATCCATGAACGAAAACGCATTGCGGGCGTACTATAGGGCGAAAGGGAAAGAAACTGTGGGAATAGCGTATAGGTCTCGGATGCATTGCTTTTTTGCTGAGCTGGAGCCGTCTAATCCCAGTTAGCCTCTCTGGTCATCTGAGGCGACTGGGACTCCGTGACGGACCGCTCCGGGCTCAAATGCAGAAGGCGGTGCTCCTTGATACTGCCCGCATCGTCCGCCGGTTTCTTTCCCTTTCTTCCTAACCCTTGGCCGTTTGGTCTCCCCTGCCGAGGGCTTCCATCTGGTTGGGCTTTTATTTATTTATGTATTTTTGTATTTATTTTATTTTATTGATATTTATGTATATTTATCCTTTCATTTTCGTTTATAATTATATATTTATACATCCCAACCAGATGAGAAAACTATATAGATACCCCACACATAATAATAATAATAATCTTTATTGATAAACATATTACATGCACCAAATTTACAGTGGTCATTAGCCCCTAAACTAGGATATAATACCTGTATTTCAGGGGCTAGTTTCCTTCCCTATTCTTAGTTCCATTTCTATAATTTGTTTATCTATGTATTATATTTATAATGTTTATTTATTATATAATATTAACAAGTATTTTTTAAAATGTAAAATTTATGACAGTAAAAAAGAGGGAAAAAAAAATTATGTTGGCACTATTGCAAATGTGTGTGTGTGCGCACGCGCGCGCGCGTGTGTGTGTGTGTGTGTGTATGTGTGTGTGTGAGTGTGTGTGTGTGTCTGTATTAGCGTGTGTTATTTACATGTCCAAAGAAAGAAGGCTCTCCGTACATTCATAATCAAAAATTTTCAGCCAGTCTATAATTTTGCTTTTCACTTCAAAGTTGTTTAGTGATCTTATGTTATGACATCTGTTAAGTTTATTATATAGCCTAGGGGCTAAAAAGTCAAAATGTCTTCTAAACACAGCACTTTTGGGTTTTGGAACAGGACATCGTTCTTTTCTCTTATTGCTTCGTATTAGTTTAGGGACAGTGACGCGATGATACCTCCTTAAACATTGATAAATAAAAGTTTTGCGGACGGATAACACTTTCGCTTTGTCATACAAAGACACTGTTGATTGGCGAAATGGTAAACGAAAAATGACTTTTAAAATAGCTCTTTGTGCGCGTTCAACTTTTATTAAATAGCTTTTAGCGGCACCGCCCCAGGCACAAATGCAGTAGGTACAGAGACACTCCCCCAATGCTTTGTATGTTTTGATAAGTAATTTGCTATCGGTTACTGTTCGTAAATTTTTAAATATATAAATGAGTTTTCTTAGCTTATTAGCTACTGCATCAGTATGGGCATCCCAAGTTAATTTATTATCAATTATCACTCCTAGATATCTCATAGAATCAGTCTTGGTTAAATTACTACATTGACATGGTGTAAAGTTTATAGTACGATTGCACGGATACGTGTGTAGAGTAATTTTAAAGTTGTTAGTTGGAAGAGTAGCATTGGTCTTAACGAAACATAGGTATTTGGTCTTAGAAACATTAAGTGATAGTAAATTGTCTTCAAGCCAACTAGTCACTGACCTCAGACCATTTTCTGTGCATTTTGCAACTTTGTCCCAAGTGTCACCATGAAAAATCAATGCAGTATCGTCAGCAAACATAGTTAAATCGGCATTTTTGATATTGATTTTACACAATTCATTTACATAAATAATAAAGAGCGAAGGTCCTAAGGTACTCCCCCTGTGGTACACCGTAAGAGCAAGTGGAAGTGTTGCTTGCATACTTGTCAATCCTGACTCGTTGTCGCCTATCAGATAGATAGTCCCTAAACCAGTTGTAGACTACACCTCTTATACCCATGTTTTCCAAACGGCTAAGCAATATAGGAATCGACACTGTATCAAAAGCTTTTTGTAGGTCCAAGAAAACACCTACACATTTTTTACCACAGTTAAGATATTTTGATACCAGAGATGTTAATCTTAATACGGCATCTTCTGTTGACCTGCCCGAACGAAAGCCAAATTGATTATTATCAATAAAATTATTTCTTTCAAGGTACCGTATTAATCGTTTATTCACGACCTTTTCCAATATCTTTGACAGAGTACTAAGAAGTGAAATTGGCCTATAATTTGAAGGGAGCTGCCTATCACCAGATTTGTATATAGGACAAACCGTAGCTTCCTTGAAAATGGCAGGAAAAACACCTTGCTCTAAACTTAAGTTACAAACATACGATATTGGCTCAGAGAGCACATTAATATACTTCTTTAGGAAATATGAACTAACAGAATCAAATCCAGGGGCACTATTTGTTTTTAAACTTAGTATAATCCGTTTTATTTCTTCGATATCTGTGGGTTCGAGGGACATAGACATAAGAGGTGTATTCGGGATTCTAGCCTTTTTTGCCAATTCATTTTCACTGGTGTTTAGTTTTTGAAGTGTAATGTTAGCCAAGTTATGCCCCACTGACGCAAAATAACTATTAAGTTTGTCAAGAGATTTAGTGGGAGAAATATCAACATCAAGTAATTCCTGCGGAGATTCCTTTTTCTTATGTATGTTACACACGTCCTTTATTATTTTCCATGTTTCTTTATTATTTTTAGCATTCACATGTAGTTTTTCTTTATAATACTGCCTCTTAGTAAATTTTATTAACTTATTACACATATTACGGTATTTTATATAGTTAGCGAGAAGTTCTTTACTATCAGAATGTAATTTAACTTTTAGGTGCATCTTATTTCTTTTACGTATGGAAATAATAATACCGTGTGTAATCCATGGTTTAAGTGGTCTAAATTTTTTAGGTAGCTCTTTGATGATTGTGTTATTATTAACTACGGTTTGTAATTTTGTCAATAAAACTTCTGCAGCAATATGTGCATCGGTTATATTAAAAAAGTTTTGCCACCTTTCAGTTGACAAAGAATTATTTATAGCATCATAGTCAATATATTTTAATTTTAAAAGAGTATTATTTCGAGCGGTTTTCTGAGATTTTATGTATAGCAAAATTGGAGCATGGTCTGTTAACGGGTCAAATACAAAAGTACCCCAAGTATTAACACTTTTAATCATAAAGTGATCGATACAAGTATATAGTCTAGTGGGAAGATTGACACCCTGCTTGAGACCATACATTGCAATCAGGTTAAGGTAGTTTTGCACGTGCTTAGAACTGTTGGATAGTATATCTAAATTTATGTCACCTGTCAAAATAATATGAGGAGTATTATTATTCTTAAGAACGTTTTCTAAAGAATGTAGATAATAATTTGGATTATGATAACTGGGTGGTCTATAAGAACAAATAATTGAATATTCCGAATCTATATTTATAATCAAGCAATTTCCTTCTTGAAAGGGTGGTTCAGTTACTGATGAATTTAAAGAAGTATGAATGTAAGCCATGACGCCATCATTTTTGTTTAAATAATTAACAGTTTGATACATCTTGTAATCGGTGATATTAGGTGGTGTGAAATTATTATTAGTCCAACATTCGGTTAAAACTAAGACGTCAACCTGAATACCAAGACTTGCAACAAACGTTAGAAGTAAATCAAAATTTCGATTTATACTACGAATTTTGACGGACAGTACCATCAACAATCCATCTGCACCAATAAAAAATTCTGAACACTTTGATGGATCATTTATGAATGTGCAATTAATATTGTGATACTCATCTATATCCGTTGCTATAATATTGTTAATATTATCTATATTAAGATCGATATGTGTAAAACCAGTGCATTTTTATAACTCAGTATATTAAGTTTGATTATATTTTTGATAGTAGTAAGTTTTATAAACCACGTATTAATGTATGTAATAAGATTAAGATAATATTTAGAATTGTAAATTGTGTGAAAGTGATATAACATGTTGTTTATGTTTTTAAGACGTGCGTTTTTTGAACGCGTATGTGATTTTATTTGTATAAAGTGTATGCAAGAGTATAACAAAAATATGTGTTTTGTGTATTGTAGTGTGTATTCGTGTTTATAACTAAGTGCGCAACATTTAAATGGAAAAAAAAACATTTACAAACATAAAATAAAAAAATTTCGTGATACAATATGATGAATGAAATACTAGTCACTTTTCTCTAATTTTTTCCAAATCAGCTTCACTTTCGATGCGAACCAAGGGTGTTCCTTCTTTTTTTCGGAGGTAGACTTTACCATGTGCAGTCCAACAAAAAACATAATTGTTTACGTACTTTTGCAAATTTTCTTGAAATTAAGAATAAATTTCTCGTTTTGCTTGTAAGAGACTCTGATATATAAATAAGCTGGGATGGACCGTCAATTTGTATATTTTTAGTGCTAAGTTTATCGTTTTTGTGTCCGTTATTATATTTCTTAAAAGCATCAATAAAGCAATCTCGTATTAATACACTGATGAAATCTACTATTATCGATTTATTCGCTGATTTTGTGTTAATGCGATACACATCTTTAATATCAGATCGGTTAATGTCTAGTTTAAGTTGTTGTCCTGAGCTAATAACTATATCAGAGAGGGTTTCCTTTGTCTCAGACGATTTTTTAGGAATATTTCTTATTTCTAAACTCGTAGAACAGTGGTTTCGCTCAAGTTTTTCGACTTTTTTTTCTAGTAATTGAATATAATGCATGTTAGTTTTTTTCTCCGTCTCCAATATATCAAGTTTTTTAATCAAATCATCGTATCTTTTCTTTAAGTGTGTCACATCACTGTCATTGATGCAGGACATACAATCTTCCTCTGGAGAGAATAGCTCATCATGAACCACCTTTTACAAGCTCAGCCGTAGATTATTTCGGACCTATGAGTGTGACTATAGGAAGGCGACACGAAAAACGTTGGGGTGTTTTATTCACGTGTCTGACCATCAGAGCAGTACACCTAGAATTAGCAGCCTCATTGACACCAGCGTCAATGATAATGGCATTGAGGCGATTTATCGCCAGAAGAGGAAAACCAGCCGTTATATACAGCGATAACGGGACAAATTTCAAAGCTGCGAATAAAGAATTATTGAAAGCATTCGAAGAATGCTATGAGGGCATGAAAATGAGTCATTTAAAAAATATATTAAATGGAAATTTATACCTCCGGGAGCACCGC